TTTTTTTTTTTTTTTTTTTTTGACATGGCAACTCTATGGTGCGGAGAACCACGTGACATCTGAAACTGAATATTAAATTCATGGAGCGGCTAGTTTGCAGTTCTTTTTCCAAGTGGTCAAATGATTTAGAAATTTCTGGTTTGCCACTGTGCTGGGTTCGAGCACATCCATGCCATAAGTGTTACATTACGTATCCTTGGCCAAGTATTAATTTCATGAAAAAAAAAAAAAAAAAAAAACGTTGACAAATGCGAGAATTGTAACAGAATTTATAATTTCTTCTACGAAATATTACCGTCAACGAAAATTCTTTCACTTAAGTCGGTTAAGTTCAATCGAAGAGTCGCGCCACTCGAGGATCAACTCTCGATTATTTACAGGCAGTCGAGACTAGTACCGGAGCCGATGGCGAGACAACGCGCCGGCACCGCGAGTCGCACGTTCGCCACGCTCTTCGTTCGAGTGAAACAGCAATCGAAACACCTCGAGACAGAGGGTCGAACTGACGAACTTTTGAAGGAGGATGCGCCGTCGATCGACAAGTTCTACGCGTCTCTCAAGATCGCCCGCGTTTTCTACTACGCCAGTTTCGATTCAGCGACGTTGAAGAAGCTGGTCAGACTCGTGATCGGCGATCTTCAGAGGAGATCGTCCGAAGAATTATTTGGGGACGTGTTGAGCACGCTCGAGCGGGACGCGAAACACGGCGTGACTTCATCGAAGGCAGCTGTCGTTCGACAGCTGGTAACCAAAGACATGATCGACGACGATAATGACGTTTACACGACGGAAGAGGAACCGAAGGACCTCGCGTTCGACGATTCTCAGGTGGAAGTGGAACCACGAGAGGCCAAACCCGGCGAACCGAACTGGCGATGGATCGACTTCCCTTTGCCTCCTGTGTTGTTAGGTCGGCGCAGATGAAACTGATTTTTATTCGAAACCCGTGAGTTTGGATTTCCTTTTCAATCCATCCGGTAATAAAAATAATAGCTTGAGGAGTCGGTCGATTTCTTTTTTTTTTTTGTTTCTTTCGTTTCACGGTGGACTTCTGTACAACGCGAGCTCCTACGCGCGATTACTATATACAACAATGCTTATGTTTGTTTAAAAAAATCGAGTAATATAAAACTTTTATTTTCTATGTTTTATCAAGTAGAAGAGTTTCTTTTTTTTTTTTTTTTTTTAATAAACAGCAATGTGTTGTGTTTTGAAAATAGGCGTTGTAATATTTGTGTTGTAGAAGCTCGCGTTGCACGAAAGAAAAAAAAAATCGAACGATTTGTCATGCTATTTTCTCGTGTAACACGAGTATCATAAAGCAACGCTATCGATTTTTGTTTCCTACGTTTTATCAAATAGAAGTTTTTTTCTTTAAATATTGCAACATTGGGTAGCGTGTTGTAACAGTAGTCGCGTGATATTCGTGTTGCAAGAGCTCGCGTTGTCAAGTCGCCACTGTAACGGGAAAGAAAAAAAATCGAACGACTCGTCAGGCTATTTTCATCAAATGGGATAGATTGAAAAGGAAATCCAACTGATTGTTTGCTGAAATTGCAAATTTTTCGTGTTCCGATCCATTCGCGTTAGACCTAACTGCCAATCATAAAATTGAAAATCTCGCAAAGAGATTATAAGAAATTCGTGAACGACGCGAGGATCGTTTTTCCGAAATTTAAATTCCCTCTCCATTTCTGAACGTTCGAAATACAGTTCACTCACGATCAGCTGATCAAATGTTTCAAATACCGCACTACATTTCCACTTGTACTTTGTTCGTCACTTTTTGATATTCTTCTTTTTCGCTTTGCTTTCGGAACGTCTGAACGATATCGCAAGTGTAGCTAAAAATATTTATTCCTCGTCATCACGAACTTATTCTCGACAATTTCGAATCGATGTTACAACTTACAGTTTCACGAAGGAATCTCAAAGATCGCGCAATCGATCAACTGATGGCGCTGGATTTGAATTAACAATGGGCGTCGGCTAGAAATCTCGAACTAGCATGAATCAACGACGTAATGTTGTAAACTTCTCGAAAGAATATCAAAAGTTACAAGCAAAATACAGGTGAAAAAAATTAGATCAATCGCGCGGCTCACAATTGTACAGGATGGGCGGAAAATCACTTTCTATTAACGATAAAATAAATCCGTAATTATTTTTACTATATATTTCTTTCAACATTTCAACGAAATATTTATAACGAACAAAGTTAGTTTCTTCTTGCATTTTGACATTTTATCAAAAAAAAAAAAAAAAAAACAGGTGGGAAGAAACTTTTGGCCCACCCTGTATTTGTAGCGAGAACCACACTTCACGTGCGTCGATCTTAACAACAGAGAACTCGGCGAGACTGTGGGAGAGCCTGGAAGAGACCTACATCGACGAGTTGAAGCAACTGCTGTTCCTCAAGAGCGTTCACTCGTCGAGCGTCGCGCCGTATGCCGACTTCGTGAAGAGGAACGCGCTGGACTTTGTCGAACGACCGGACAGCAAGCAGGATCTGTTGCACCGGTTCCACCGAGCGTTCAACGCGATCGACGAGGACGCTCGGCAGGACGCGGACGTCAAGTGCGAGCTGCACCGTCGCGTGGCGGATTTTCAAACGGAGCTGTGGGAGAGCTGCGATCGGAGGAGACGCGAGGCGGAGGACGTGCGGAAACGGCACGTCGACGATCACTGGATAGCTCGCGAGGCGGTGGTTTTATACGACACGTACGTTGGTATCGTTCAAGCGGAGATCGATCGATGCGTCGACGCGACGCGTCTGCTGCACGACTACTATCTAGGGATGGCGAAGAGACCGCCGCGGGAAATCGGCGTCTCGAAAGTTATCCTAAACAGAATTGGACTCGAGACGAGCAACGACACGGACGATAGCGAACGGCAGAGTTCGAAGGAGCAGCCGAATTTAAGTCACTCTTCGAATCCTTATATAGCGGATAAATCGATCGAGCGAAAGAAACGAGAACGAGTCAGAACCAGGGATAAATCGGCAACGACGACAACGTTCGCAACGCCTCCGGCTGCCCCCGATCGCGAGTCTCTTCGTAAGGAGATCGACGATCTGATGATCGACAGACAGAAAATCGTCGACGACGTGGAGAACGTTGGCCTGTTTCGAGGAATCCTAGAGAACGTTCGATACGCGAGAAGCATCGTGGACGCGTCGCTTGCGGCAAGCATCGATTCGATTAAAAGGGAGCAGATAGCAGCTTCCGAGAATAGAGACTCGGCCGAAGATTCGATCGTCGAGAAGATGAGATCGAGGGGGCAGGATCTAGCGTTGGAGTGGCGGTACGCTGTCACCTACGAGACTGAAAGAGCTCGTCAGAAATTGGACTCGATAGAGAACGTGGCCCGACTGGATGTTGGTTTCTTATTGGCGACGTTGCAGAGGGCTTTCCACGGGATTTACGACGCCATCCTGGACAGGTTGAACAAACTTTGCTCTTTAACACGTCGATCATCGTCGATGGCTCGTACTTTAACCCTTTGTTCTTCTTGTGGCAATTTAAAATGTCGAGTCACACTCAACAAAGGGTTAACGTACCATAGAACGTACCATAGAATTGCTTTTATGCGCGAAATAATAAGTACTATAACTGTATAAATAAGTTGACACATAGACGCCGCCCGGTAGAGGGAAGTTTAGAGAAGAAATTAACCTCTTAGCTATGCTTTTAAAATTGAATTAAATTATAAGGAAATAACGTTAGATGCCATTTTGCCTCAGTCACAGTTCAGATTTCAGTGGCAAAATAAGCCTAATGTTTATCATTGTAACTTTAAAATTTAAAAAAATACGGCATCAAAAGAGTGGAATATAAACTCGGAAACAACATTTGCGAAGGATGTAGAGGCTAATATTGCGATATTGGCACTAATGTTGACGAGGACCAATATTTTAGGAGAAAATACGTATATTTTCGTCATTTCAAATCTTGTCACGCAAGCGACCATAAGCAAGGAAATATTGAGAAACGATATAAAAAGAACTGGTCAATCTCGAAACATTCTAAAATTCACAAATACGTTTTACTATTCCACAAAATTGTCATTACTTTTCCCGTATATACGAGTATACACACATCTCAACAATAAGTCATTCATCAACTGAGAGGTTAACAGAGTGAGTCAACGTGTGAATTAATTTTACAACCGCCTGAAAAAAAAAAAAAAAAAACGTTAAATCGTTCGTGTTCGCGTAGATACTGGCGCGAGATGAATAGCGTGAACGACATGGCGAACGTGTTCTGTTTCGCGATCGAGGAGGGCAGAATGCTAGAGAAGGAGCTGCTGTTGGACGGCGATCGATTCGTCGTTCGATCGAACGTGTACGTGACGAAGGTCGAAGCGACGGAGCCGAGGCGCGTGAAGGAAATCGCCTGGTCTCTGCGATTCCAAGTAGCCAATCTCGTCCGTCTGATGGAGATATTCAAACGAGTCGCGCCGTCTGGGACGATGTGCGAGCGCACCTTGGTTTACATTCTTCAGGACCTGGCGAGCCACGGCCAGGAAGAGGGGGAGCCGATGTTGCTGCCGTGCTGCTGGTACGAACTTCGACTGAGCGACGTTTCGAGAGTAATCGACCGGCTGTTCGGGTCCGTCGACTACGTTGATTGGCGAGAGTTCCTCGTCCACGCGATGGACTTGCCCACTCCGACCTTGCAAGACATCTTGGCAGCCAGGGATCGCTTCAGAACTCAAGATCCCGATCTCAGAGAAGTCGTGTCCTTGGCTCAGTACCATCGAACGCCGCTGTGGTTCCTCGACTGTCCGAAGAAGAATCGCGTGGAAGAGTTCCATCAGACGCTTCTCGACGAGTTTGAAGGGGTCTCGAGTTTGGAGGACGATGAGAAACTGTACCACTTGAACGACGACGAGCCCTTCTGCTCGAGTCCGGAGGAAACGCTCAGGCGAATGTTGGCCAAGCAACTACTGTGTCGCATGTACATGACCGATCGACGCTCGGTCAACTACACCGCGTTGCTGTTGGCATTCTGCAAGGACGAGAACCCGCGGGACGGGTTCGCGAAAGCGCTGGCGCTGGCTCTGGGCAATCGTGTCTGCGCGGACACGCAGGAGGGCGAAAGATACGCGAAGGAACTTCTCCAGCGCAAGCGGTTCGCGCCGCCTCACGAAGCTCTCGAGGTGGATTTCTAACTAGTTATTAACAGATTACGCGACCGGCAGGATTTCCCCTTTTTCTAGCGACCTGCTCGTCACTCTGACGTTAAAACAAAAATTCGAAAGAAAGCAGAAGAATGAAATATTTTGGAAGTTATATATTCTAGGGTTCTGTAAATAAAATAGGAATAGAATTTGATCAGCGGTCGCTAATGTGTTAATAACTATACTGCTCACAAAAATTAGGGGACACTGATGAACATGAGTGTGTGAAGCGATAAAAAAAAAAGAAGCATTTCATTTTTTAAACAAGAAGATCAAAGAAAGTTGTCCAATTTTATTTGCTTTTCTGATGTTCTTGTTCATTAACAAAGAAAAGTCAAATTTATCGCTTCGTGTTTATTTCGA